ACATTGTGCAGCCAAAACTTGAAGTCCTCCCCTTTAATTGATTGGAATTTAAAGCCAGGATACCTTCCTCACCAAAATAAATTAACAGTAAATCAGGCTGCAGAATAAATGAGGGAATTAAGTCGGTCTGGTTGAAAAGTTCAAAGAGAAGCAAGTCCCTGGGCTGATGAGTTGTGGTTCCATGCAGCTCCCAGGGGTTGCTCGGGGAGCTGTGGGGTAGGGGAAGGTGCTCCGCTGTGCTGCTGTCAGGTGGTTGCCACATCTTTTCTAATTAAAATAAAATCATGTTAGGATTCCTGAAATGAATACTTGGGATAATAGATTCTGAAAGTGATGAAAATGTTTTCATTAAATAGTGAGAGAGGGAGAGAGACCCTGTGAGGCACAGCGTTTTATCTCAAGTCTCTAATAACATTAATAAACTCTTTAATCTTTGTCACGTTTATGACTTAATGGCAACCCTTGCAGACGTGACAGACAAGTGAGCGCTGCCAGGCTCCTCTAACCTCCACGTAGCCATATTCTTTGCTGCAATGTGTGATGGAGGACCAGGAGGTGTCATCCCCATCTTACCTCCACCTCAGCTCCCTGTACCCCAGCACTGACCGTGGTCTGTGCTCCGTTGGCTGTTGTTCAGCTGGACACTGATGGCAAAACGAACCGTCACCATTAATCCCTCCTTTATTTGCATGATTTTGATGCCACCAAAACAGATGACACTGATGTAGCATAAGGAGAATTTTTAAATGGGAGCATTATGTTTTAAAACCCTAATGAAAGCAAAATAAACGCTGGAGTTTGAATTTAGAGAATGGGAGGAAAAAAAGGCTATTCTGTGCTGGTGAAGTAATGAAGGTACCGGCTGGTAACAATGTTTAATAGCACATTAATGCTGAATTACTTTGGAATTTCTGCAGAAGTTGAGATGACATCCACATAAACACCAAATGAATTCCGAATGATCGGTATTATCATAAAAAGCACCAAATGAATTAATAATGATGGAACACTTAAACTAAAATGTTCTCTTTCCTCATCTCCTGTCTCTTTTATGAGCTGCTCTAGTCGCTTTTGTCCAACCACATGACCCTTCCTTTCCTTTGTCTTTTGATTGTTAAAGAATGCACTTTTGCATGACTTTGTCGTTCCATGCGGGGAGCAAGGCATGGACCGGTCCTCGTGACAGTGCTGCACTGGCACTGCAATGTGAAGGGCTGGTGGGAAGACATCTGGACTTATTGCTGGGAGAATGATGGCAGCTGATCATGACCGTGACAACAACGATTGCTGCTGGATGGCCTCACGTGTGCGTAGGCCTTGGGGCACTTTGGACAGTGCTTAGTTAAGTAAGAGTCTCAGCAAATCCCCTACTGATGCAACTGCTGGATTGCTGAGAACTTCCAGAGCAGGACATTGGGCTGCCAGGAGGATGACAGTGCAGGGCTGTTTGTTGGGAAGTCATGGCTCCAGGCACGGCTCCAGGGAATAGAGCAGACACTTGAGTATAGAGCAGCACCTACTGCAAGGGAACTCCTGTGCAATATCCACCACTGTGCTGTTGCTGCTGGGCCTTGGCCATCATGTGTGCGTGGCTTCTGTGACAGCAGTAGCATCACGGAATTACATTACCAATTAATTTGCAAATGATGGTGGAGATGTGCTCAACAGTCCAAAAGGCACACACACACAAAATAAAAAAAAAAAAAGAAGGAGAGATGGGTTTCATCTTCCCGTGTGCCTTGTAGCTGGTCCTTCTAGCCCATTCTGCATCTGTCAGAATCAGTGCCCTGGGAGCAGTCATCATTTTTATTAACCATTAAACAAGAAGCTCCTTTTTATTTGAAAATGTAAACCATGCAGAGTGCTATCAATGGCCTCTATCCCAGCTCACATTAATCTACACCGCTGGGAGCTCCCCAAAAACTGACCACAAAGCAGGGCTGGATGCACCCCTAGGACCGACACCTCGCCTACGGGTGCCAGATGTGAAGTCATCCCTGGGTGCCTTACGGGGCCCTGAGCAAGCCTGAGGGTGGGAGGCTGCTGTGGGGCTGGAACACAGAACAGACTATAGGGCAGACTCCCTGTGTGCTATTTTTTAAGATTTATTTTTATTGTGCTGCCTTAGCTGCTTCTGTGTGAGACTGCAGAATATTTTACTGCTTTGTGGCTCTCAAAAAAAAAAAAAAAAAAAACCAAAGAAAAAAAGGGAAAAAGTTAACAGAAAAGGCGTGTTTTGTTGTTTTTTTTTTTAATAGAAAAACTCTGCGTCTTTGTTTTCAGCATCCCTGCTGGGATGAAACTATTAATCAAACAGCAACTGAAATAAATTAAGCCCACCTAATACGAACAGCCCTATGTCAGATGGAGAACAGTGCCACGGCACAGCTCTCTGTCCACCTGCAGTGCTGCTCAGCCCTGTCTAACACCGCACCAGTGGCCATCTGCACGCGGGTGAAGACCAGAGATTTTGGCTTCCATGTCAAACAGAAGGATCTAATGGGCTCAGCCAGCCAAATTTGGGTTCATCCAGACCATATCTCTCAATAAAACATTATCAATGATAAAATGGCTCTGATGGCCTAGTTGTGATGAGGCAGAGGATGTCCATGTATAACCAAGACCCACTGAAGTTACTGGAGGAAAAGCTCAACCCAACCCAACCCAATTCATGGTTAATCTCAGCCCCACCTTGCCTCCACACCGATAGGTAACGATGCCTGCAGATACCTTGCAACCAGCCACAAAGCCATGGGTAAAAGCGAGGTGCGTGGCCTCTATGTGCAGTAACGAGCCTGCCCCTAATTGCAGTGTAACTTCCACTCGCACACGGAGCTCAGAGCATGGCGAGGCGTGCATAATCAGGGTGAGAGCACGGCTGCAGAGCGAGATGCGTCTGATGTCAGATGAGAGGAGCGAGAGCCTTTAATCATTTTGTTTTCAAAGACGCTTGAGAGAACTCTTTGAAGAGGAGGCTTTCTCAAGAGCAACTTCTGCAAAACAGGAGGCAGCACTACGCAGTGCGTACCACTGCTGGCCCCATGCTTCACCTGTGTGGGGCACATAGACACGCACCTATAGGTATGTATAGATCTGTATGTGGCCCTGGCATGCTGCTGCTGGGCCTGGCACCGGGAAGCTAGTCCAGACTTCACCCCATCTCGTTCTGCCTAATGTCTGCTGCAGCAAGGAAGTGCGGCCCCAATTATTATCTATTCTGTGTTATCTAATATTCATCATCTCATGTTTAATTTTCATATTAATATTTGAGGCAACCACAGTTCTCCCTGGTACAGAAGGCAAGCTAAAGGGGATGACGGCTACAACAGGATGCCAGCCTCCCTCTATTACTTCAATTATGTTATGCAGTGTTTCACTAGTGTTGGAAGAAGTGTGAACACTCAGAAGTAAAGCATCATGGTGGAGAGGAGGCTGGGGAGGGAGTTGGAGCTGGAACTAGATAAGCTTTAAGGTCCCTTCCTGCCCAAGTCATTCTAAGATTCTGTGATACCTGCAAATGTGGCTGGGGTGTTTACAGGAGAAGGCACAGTGCTTGGAGAAGCAGCCTAAGGGGAGAGCATTTGGGCTTTGCCTCTTGTCTAATTCTTAACCACCATACCTATGAAATTAATTTTTCTCTTGCTCCCAGCATCTTTCAGCTTCAGTAGCAGCCTCAAGCAGCCAGTATCACTTCCAGCTTTGACCCATGGGTCTCCAAGCAATCGATCTGATTTTTTTCCTCCACAAACTGCAGTGTCCTTTTTCCTGGTGACGTACCAAATCCTGCCCCCAGCCCCAAACCCTGCTACTGTGGCTGCCTCGGTTCTCAGTACAGCAGCATGGGAAAGTATGCCAGCTCAGAATGCTCTTGTCCCTTCAGGAAAGGAAGAAAGCAACTCAAAGCCCAGTTCTCCAAATTCACGCCCAGCTTTGATTCAAATTCTGGATGCGTTTGATGCAGAAATCTCCACTGCTTTCCATAAACCCCCAAGACAGTTATTGTTGGCCTGCACGCCCACACCGGCATGCTGAGGTTCAGTTTCAGAGGCACAAACAAGGAGGTCTCTGTTGCTGGAGAGAGCCGTCCCCTGGGCTTTGCCAACATCACCGCTCTTCCTGTCTTCAGATCAGCAGCGAGTACTCAAAACCAGCCCTGTTTTTGGAGGTGTTGCTGCTGGGGATGCAGCCACTAACAGCTCTCCAGCTGGGGCTGCTTGGGAATTCCTTGTGGCACTACACAGAAAGGGCAGCGCCAGTGACTTTGCTGCCTGCCCTGGCACCGCATTCCCACTCCCATCAATCAGCACAGACCAGGTGCCGGGAAGCAGCTCTTGCCAATCGCCTTTTATTACCTTTAAAAATTCAAGAAACCCGGAACAAGACAAAAACTGAGAGCGTGTGAACATCATGCAATGGATTCACTTTAAAGCAGATTGGGGATGGGGGAACCAAAAGCCATGTTAGAGTAGAAATAGCGCTTCTCCCATGTCTGGGTGCCAGATGGGGTGGGCTGTCACCAGCGGGGCTGGTGGCAACGGTTATGAGTGATCCGGCTAATGCTGAAGGCAGGAGATGGAAACTCACTCAGGAACCACCATCCTGAGTAACCCCAGGCCCAACAGAGACCCAAATGCAATTTCTCACGAGTGATGATAGCAAAAAATAGGGACCTCTTACTTTTGGCATGGACAGCTTTTGTTCAGGCAAAGCCTCTTTGGGAGGAGAGGCGCAAACTACAAGTTGTTTTTTAGTTCAATTATGCTATTAATCCAGCAGTCCATCAGCAGAGTGAAGTGACGACTCGGTGCCCTTCAGTGTCACTCTGCCTTCAACATTCAGAACACAACCTAGAACAATATTTGCTTCTCAGAAGAGTTTTGGAGAGTTTGAACTACCATGGAAACAACTGCATCTTGTCCACAATGTGGATGTGACAAAACTCATGCCCTTGTTTTCCCAAGGTATATGCAACATTTGAGTTCATTACATTTAATAGAGTAGGGTCACCCATAAAGTTATTCATAAGGTGTTTTCTGAGTGGTTTTCACGTTCTCTTTGAAAAAATAAATTATATCAGCGTGTTCATGAGATACAAACTGTGCTGGCATTCAGTTGTTATTATGTTATTAACTTATTTAACCTGATAATTTTCAGTCAACAGTAGGAAGCAATTTTCACTCACTCCAGTGACCAGTTGGAGATGCTGCAATGCATGCTATCAGGGTTCACCTTGGCAGACCCCTACTCCCTCCCAGTTGGAGACAATTACCCCTGTCACTCCCATAAGCAGTCACCAAGAATTTCCATTTCCCCTTCAGCTGGGACTTAATTTAGAAGGCGAGGACTTTCTAAGCTATGGGAGAGTAAAGATAGATGGTATGGGAGAAGGCAGCTGATGAAATGTAGTTGAGTCCGGATCTGAAATATTTTATCCCTCCTCAATGTAGGTTAAATTATTCTTCACCTTTCCCACATCCATAATTGTCGCTGATCTTGGACCAACTCAAAACCCTACTACTGAGTTCAGTAGACTCAAAATTGCCACTAGAACTGGAAAAAGAAAAAAAAAAAAGAGATTTGTTAGTGTCCACGTACAACATCCCAAGACTATACACAGCTATGAGATACAGCAAATTTAAGAAAGCCAATTCTTTTTTTTCTCATCACTGAGTATTTATTATATATAACAAATACATGAAAAAGAAAAAACTATATTGTGTGATATAAATAGTTTATTTACATTACAGAAAAACATCAAGACAATGTATACTATTTCAAATATATCCATACATAATCAAATATAGCTGTAGTACATGTTCTCATTGGTGTAGATTACCACAAATGCAAGGCAACATGTGTAGATCTTGTCTTAATCTTTTGTCTATAATACTGTATTTTGTAGTCCAAGCTCTCTGCAGTTAGTTTTGCCATTGTGGAAACATGCGCTCTTTAAATTAACCTTGTCGATGCTCTCGTCGTGTTGTCTGAACTGTAGTGCCCCGTGTTCTGCTTCTGTCTGTGGATTCTGTTGCTCCTGGGACATTTCCTGGAAAAGAGAGCGGTGAGAGCACGCAGTTTGGAACAAGTCTCCCTGCTGGGGACACGCTGTGACAGCAGCGCATGCGAGCGCTAAAGTGGAACTTCTGTCTCACTCTGCATTGCCAGGGGAAAAGACAGCAAACCTTCGACAAAAATACAGCAGGGAAACTTCAAGAGCGCCGCTTCTTGCTACAGCACCGTGGTGCTCAGCAGTAGTTGAGCTATTTTTATAAATAACAGGACCAAGCTCTACGGTGCTCCTTAGCAAGGGCGCGCTTCAACCTCGCACTTGAAGCAGCAGCATCAGCTGTGGGGCTTGCTTGGGCATGGTTCTAACTGAGCAGCAAAATGCAGTGAAATTCGATTTTAGTGACCCCTCCCCATCAGAAGGGCCAGGGCTTCTTTTCAACATTGAATGCGTATGATGCTATAGTTCTGTGACTCCATCCAAAGGGCTAGATGAGCACGAGGGCTCACGGAGCATTTCACATTGTTGAAACACAATTATATAAGCGTCTAACATAATATGGGTCAGACTGTCCCGACTTGTCTCATTTCTAAGCCAACAAGACTACCCCCTCATGAGAAGCTGTATGGCCGTATGCTGCATTTTGCCTTTTTCCTTTCTTGGAAGCCAGCTGCTATCATTACTAGGGGAAAAATGAGCTTGCCTTCCCAGTGCTCTCGGAGGTTATGGCAGAGCTCTCATTAGGAACTAATGCAGACTTGAGTTGGTTTCTGATTTCCCAATGAACTTTTTACTTGCTGCCTGCTCCCAAAAATCTGACTGAACTTTTCAGCATAAGGCACTTGTGATGGAGCCACTGCTAGCAAACACGGGGCAGTTCCATTCTGCAGCACCCAGCTCCGGTGGCACAGCAGGACCCCGTGGGGCACAGCAGGCTGCCAGTAGCTCCTCCACATCACCTGTGACCCGGGAAAAGCCTTTGGTGGTACTGATTCCATCAGAAACGCGGTGGCTGGGGAAAGTCAGCAGCCCTGGGGCACGTGGCTGTGTGTGCTGGGAGGTGAGAGGATGTTGGAAGTGAGAAGAAAAACACCCAGGAGGTGCTTCCCCAAAATCCGACAGTACCCATATGGTAGTGCAAGGTTGAGACAAATCGATTCACATATAGAGGTCATGAAAAACCACCACTTCACCAAAAATACCCATTTTAACTGCAAAACACACTATGATACCAATCGATGGAAGCAAAGGTGTGCTCTGAAAAGACACCGGGGCCAAGTACTGATACCACAACTACTTAAATGTGGTGCTATCAGACTTACAGGTGTGTTGTGGGATGCTGGTATTTAACCAGTCTTTTAGATGCTATCATCTGCTGAAAACTAAGTGATAGCTTTACCTTGGCCCTTAGCTCACTAACCAAATTTCTCTGCGGTGTGTGGTGGTGGGGATACACTCAATTACGAACACATTGGGGTGCTGAGGCAGTGGAGCACAGCCTACATGCCTCCCTCCCCGGAAGCCTGCTCACAAGCATGACTCACTCATAATGAGATTCATAGCAGGTAAAAGATGCATTACACATTCATTTTTAATTAAGTTATTTCTTCCCATAAATAAGCTGTTGTGACTAAACATTACTAAAGCACTAAAAAATGCAAAGCCATAAAGAAAACTGCTGAGAATCATTATGACACTCGGCCATACCTATATTATTTTCTATCATCTTTCACTTCTACCACTGGCTGTCTTTTGCTGTACTTCTACACTTGGAAGTCTCCTCGTGTGAGGATGATGGTTCTCCCTGCTTTCTCCCAGGAACCTGTGAAGGTGGCTTTGGTGTTTTTCAGGACAGGGAGTTCAAACCAGCACAGCCCGGTTCTCCAAAGCAGATGACTTCAAAAACTCAATTACTTATGCACTTGCTGCCACAACATTCTCCTGTCACACGGATTTCTCTTAAGCCACTTATGGTTATGCTTTTGCAAATGTATCTCAAATCATTATGCCGGGATGGAGGATACTCTGCAGCAATTACACGCATTACAGAGAAAAGTCAAAAGATCATAAATTAACTTGGTTACAAAGTCTGTGGGAGAAGGTAACATCTATGAAGGAAAACAGGGTGATGGGCAATTTGCATCGCAGTGCCGGGTCGCTCAGAGTGCACTGTCTTCATCCTTCGGTATGAAGTAATTTGCTCTACTGGATGAAGGTGACGAAACCAGAGTCATTCAAAAAAAATGACACAGAGCATTTTCTCCATTGTCAGTCAGTACACCGCCTTCTTTTTCTTCCTGCACACTGCCTTTCTGGTTGCTCAAATGACTTCTGTGGATGCCACCACAATATTATCTATTGCCCCTTCTGGCATCTAGCACTGAGGCAATGGCCAAAAACCAGCTAGGTTTTATCAGACAGTTTTGTTTTATGCCTTGAGGCCACAGAAGGATTTATGAACCCTTTTTTTTTTTGTCTCTTCCTGGAGGAAATGTGATGTTTGTCTTCCAGTCAGGTAATGCAACACAAGGAGTGAAATACATTAGAAATGTTATTTTCTACAGAGTTATGACACCTGGCTTTTATTTTCTTGTCTTTTTAAGAGAAATTTATTTCTGAAAGAGTCCTGTACCAGGGTTGCCAGCTGAGTGAATTTAACCTTGTAATTCCAGAGAGAAGCCTGAAGATGCCTGAAGTTCAGAACACCCTGAGACAATAAAGTGGTTCAGTGGGGAAGAGCAGCATGTATAGAGAGATTGAATTTATCCCTCCCCTCCGAACCACCTTGGGGCTGTCATTCACATTCAAACAAACTCTTCTTCCTCATTAAAAAATGAACAGATTCACACACGGCTCAGCATGCCACCGTCTAGAGAAGACTGTAAGCACATGCAATACCTGGTGAACATGCATACAAGCCTAATGAAATCATTTAATCACTGGGATTGCAAACAGGCTTAAAAGTTTGTTTGTGTCGCCTGATTAGGACTAAGGGAACGGGCCCTTGAGGAAACCAGATGGGGATACGATTAGTTTTATTAAGTGTTGATCCAGCTGCTGTACTTATATTCCCCTTATTTATGTGAACAATAGTTGTCCAAGCATCTGAATACAAAACAGGAAATTTCATTTTCTGCAGGCACCGTCACTAGCTAAGTTTGATTAAGATGGAAGTAAAAACAACAGTAACAGTAACAGGAGCACTGGCTGGTGGGACCTGACGAGATCACCTGTTTGCTGGTGAATTAAAAAGCATTTGTTATCACAAGTGTCACAGCAGAGGTCTGTATAATCAGAGCTATAAAGCAGGAAAATAAAAAGTTCTTTCTTGTTCTACAAATATCTGAGATACTGACCTTGTAATACAGAGGACTACAACACAGATGATAGCAATCTGGATAGTTCCAATCACAGCTGCTATTAAGACATACTGAAATCGTACCGGACCTGGAACCACATATAAAACGCTGTAGTCCTTTTTTTCACAGTGTTGTCCAGTATAGCCGGCATCACATCTGAAACAAAAAATACTTTCCCCAGTTAATTTTGAAGCACTTTGAACCAAAGTATATCTGAACCCCCCCCCCAAAAAAAAAGCCATATCAGTGGCTTGAGCATAAGCTTATATGTTGTTTTTTTTTTAAGGATGGGGTCCCAGCAAGAGCACTGATGCCTCCCTTGACCTCTCTAAGGGAAAGCTTCCAAACCTCAGCATCACTGAGGTCTGTGCAAGCCAACAGCAGAAGCAGTGCCAGGTGGTGCCCAGAGGACCAGGACTCATCCAGCATTTGCACATCAGGATGAGAATCCATTTTGTACTTGCACATGGTATTTTAGACTTCTCTCTTTCTTTGGGGAGATGGGGGAGGACTGAAAGCCCTAGTCATGGCTCCTTATGCAGATTACCCTTAAGGAGGTGATAAGCAATCATTTGAGTTCCATATGAAATGTGATTAGATGTTCCTGCAAGCGGATACAGCATTTACATTTTGTCTGGATGCTATAAAAAACCCTCTGTTGGTGCTGCAACCATCCGCCCCGGGCCGCGCGACACTTCCCTCTGACTCTGGGGAACAGGCAGCGCCCTTCCCATTATCTCTCACCCTGTTCCCACTCAAATCCCCAGCAATCTGCTCCTCTGGACTGCGGGGGCTACCTAGCAGCCGCCTGTGCACTTTGTGAAGCGCTTTTACAAAATTAGTTACATACAACTGAAGGTTACTGAGTGTTTTCACCAGCAACTGTGCATGACTCAATACCATTTTGCCACAGATAGCACAGACGTTGTTAAATAATTTAAGTCTAATGGGTTTTGTGGCACAAAGGGCCTGGTTACCTCCACTTCCCATAGAGAATACACTGACTCTAGAAAAGCTAAGTCAAGATTTGTGTGCAAGCAGCCTTCCCTCCTTGGTAGGCAAAGGGTTACCTGCAGGATGGCTCCAGCATGTTGGTGGAGTGCTCGCACTTGCCGTGCATGCAGAAGCCGTTGTAGTGCTCTGGACAGGGGATGTAGATCCCTCGAGCGCTCTCTTCCAGTTTGTTGGCATTCTCTGTGAACACAGGTGGAGGCAGCGTTAACCTGGCTGCATGGGAAAGGGGAAGAATTCAACACAGAAAGGACAGAGTTCAGAGCTTCAGAAAGAATGTCTTCCTTTCGCCGCTGTCCAAGGAGAGTTTCAAAAATTTCTGACAACTTGCACTAATAAAGGAGGCTGTGCTGCCCTTGTGTTAAGACAGACAGGAACAAGCTCCCGGAAAACATGAATGACAGGGCAGCCTTCACATCCCTTTAGAGCACTGCCGGCTCTTTCATCTCTAGGACTTTTAGGACATTTCAGGATCAAGCACTAAATCCTCTTCTTTGGGAGAGATGAAGAGATTAGAGATGAAGAGAAAGGAGGAAGCGAGCCTTATCTCACAGCCCTAGTTGTTTTCTCTTAACTTGAAGAAGAAACCTACAGCAAACACAAAAGCACGGCCTATAGAGTCATAAACTGAATCAACAGCACTTAATTTCTAGAGGAAATTCAATTTGTATCCTTGCACTGGCTTACAGGAGAACAGGCCATACAGCCAGGTTTCCATGAGGTTGATATCACCAAATGCGACACGTGCCAGCCACCAATGGACCCGCCTGGTGCACACAGGAGATCCCAATGTGCTTGGGATCCATCGTGAAGATCCCTCCTCTCTTAAATCAGCCAGCAGCACTATTAAAACAGTAAGGCGCCATTTGATTTCTTAAGGCACACATCAGTGGTGACAGAAACTGTCATTTTCAGGGCAGACTAATGTGCTAGGAACTGATAGGAATGCAGATGCTCCTATCGCATGTAGGCTGTAGAAGAGAGGAATGATTTTTCCTTCTCCAGCAACCGAACAGGTAGGAACAATTTCCTTTAGAAGATTCCCCAGCATGCTTTTACACAAATCTAGGATCTTGAAGAACTTGTAATTATACCTCAAGTGCATGGAAAAAATACACCACATTCAGCCACGAGTTGTCTGCAGTGCCCCATTTTGACTGCTGACCCTTCTAAAACAGAGAGAAACTGAACGTAAAGGCAGAGAGGGGACAGAAGCACAAGAATTCATTTGATCTGCCATTTCAGTCACTCGCTAGGCAGACCGCAATAAAAGCATAGTTTAGCTCAGCCAGACAAGAGTTTGGGACAGAGAGATGTAAAGCCTAATGAAAAACCTGGACTGACTCCATCACTTTCCCATTTGCGGACAAATGTAATTCCTGCCACTGTCCTCACACTGCTTCTCGTTTTTGCTTTAAAAACAAATACATCCTCACCCTTCAGATGAACAGTATTCAGAAACTTTTCACTCGGAGCGTTTCTCTGACAGAAAATGCCAGCTTGATGAAACCAACATCTTGTGCATTTCTGCCGCTTTTTTTTTTTCCGCATCTTTAGCCTAACATGACATTTCATATTGTGCACATCTTTTGTTACTGCCAGAACATGACATGATAGCCTATCATGTAAGATTCACTAGTCAAAACAGATTATTTTTAAACACATTGAGGCCAGATGCTGCTTTGTATATACCGAAGCCGCTTATCGTCTTCTTGCTAGAAGTCGCCTTCTGGTTGCACGTTGCTCTCCGGCCTTTCTGTGGATGGCAGGGAGATGCTAAGCTCTTTTGCTGGGGTAGGAAGCTGGGGCCTGAAGTTTCCCCACTGTGACTGATCCTCATTCTCCTGATGGATTATCCTTTGAAAAGTTAAACTAATTATTTAAAGCTATCTTGTCTAAATTCCTTAATTTATCTGCCTGTTCCTGTTCTCCCTTTAATAAAAAAGTTGGAAGAATTATTTCAAATATACTTTTAACTTCCAGCTTAACCATATGTCTTTTCATCAAGGTTCTTGGAAGCTGAAAAGAGCTCCAAGACGATTCTCAGCTAGGATCCCAGTGAAGGCTAAAACTCAAACCATGAAGCCGTCTGTCCAGTTGCGACCTGACTCTGAAAGCAACAAAAACAAGGCATTTCCCATTCTTCAGCAAAGCAGAGGCATGGAGCATCTTGAGTAGCACCTCTGGCAAAGGGGAATTAAACCCATTAATGCCCTTGATAAGGATCACATGAAATACTGCTTGAAGTGCACTAAAAATTCCTTCCAGGCCTAAATTCCTGCAATCCACTGGGAAAAAGAGAGATTAAAATCTAGTCAAAACTAGGATTCTTATGTCCAACAGCTGACTGCCAGGCACTTAACAATCAGCTCCGCAGGGCTATTAATCCTTTTGTTCTGTTGTTCATTGAGCCTGGCTGAAACCGGGAATTCCAGGTGACTTCAGGCAAGCCAAGTGCAGAGCCACAGTCTGTCAATCCTCATCTTAGTATTTATAGTGCGTATGGGTATAATAATGGATAGGTCACATCCATATGTTAAAATATTGGCTGAAGTGTGGTGCTAATGCCTTGTGTACAGTCAATGCTGCGGAGAGGAAGGTCCTGCAAATACATAAATTTTATCAAATGAAAGAGGAGATGGTGAATGATGTGCAGTGAAAGCTATTTTGACACCTACCTCATTGAAGACAGCAGTTACGGAGAACTGACTTAATAATTTAAATCTTTTAATAATAGTGAGGTCAGTCACACTGGCAGCCAAAAGCTCTCAATGATACTGAGGTACTGACTCTTTTCATGTCACATTTTCAGGGGATTTATATAGGGTGGGAAGGAATTTTGTGTCAAAAATACATCCTTAACCTTCCCAACCCTTTTTGGAAATCTGTTCCCCTTTTCTACACCCTTGGCAGCCCTCCCACAAGGATGCTGCAAAGCACAGCACTGGGAACTTACTTAACAAAGCTCTTTTTATCTGTCTGATCATGTTGGTGAGACTATTCTTACCTGTAATCTAAATAAAGGTCCAGAGAAGGATGCCCTGAGGTTTGTGAGAGAGACTGGCTGGGAATGGGAGACCTTATCCTGTGGATAAACCGAGGGGCAGGACATGGACCTCATCTGCTACTCTTTTTAAGAGAAAAGCAAATTACCTCAACCCAGCAACACTTGCACTACATGCAGAAATTTCAATACGCTACTGCAAAGTCAGGAGGAATGAAGTAGAAACGGTGTCATAACTGAAAGTTCAAAACTGCTTTAGCAGGGTTTTTGGCACCTTCCTCCTCCTAACAGGAACTGAGGCCACACACCAACTCTGAGGGAGAGGTCCGTCAGCAGGCTTCCTCCTCACTAGCAATGAAGAAGCATCCTGACAAATCCTGGCTCTGCATTCTGCCAGCACAGCCCTACTTCCTCACTGGCAGCTGCTCTGCTCTGACCTATTAATTATCTTGACAAAGTACTTCGTTCTTAACACCTTGTTGCTGGAGATCTTGTGAATATTGTCTCTTCACAAAGAAGAAAATACGTGAAAGAATCTGCCTGACAACTGCTGTTTCTGTAGGCGTTGGACTGGAAACTGTGGAGGAAGTACTCACTGCCACTCCAAAGGGGATTCACCAGCCCACTCCCCTTGGAAGCCCGTGGAGGAGGGACATCAGATGTCAGATGATGATGGCTGGCACTAGTATGCTGTAACCCTCAGCTACACGCATCCTGCAGCCACCCAAGTATGCATTTCAGGCTAATCCTCCTACACAAAGTGCGCAAAAATACCATCTCTACATTAGCTACTTCAACAAGAGGAAAAAAGAAATGGATCCTTATGAATTAAATTACATTCACTTCTTTTCTCAGGCACAAACTAGACTTGCTTGACACAGTAATTTATTAATTTTAAATGTCCCCATGCAAATGACTTTCCTGGAATAAGCTAACATCCACTTCCCCTTTTAAAAATAATCTAGTGCTTTTTACATTTGAGATGATGGTAGGATGTTCTAATATACTAGAAAAAAAATATCGTGTCCTCTCTTTTGCAGCAGTGTATTGTAATTATTCAAAATGCTGCCATCATTTATTACAGAAGTGAATGAATTAAGACACTAATAGCCCCCAGAAATCAAATGGACAATGTATTTTAAGCCAGTCAGCTATATACGTCAGAGCTAACTCTAAACTTCTGAAATGCAAGAGTACTTCTACTAGCAGCACCTGTGGATGGTTCTTCCCTATTGGAAAAGACCGCTTGACATCAGGCAACCCGTTCATCTTTTTCCTGTACAAAACCTCTTGTTGAAGGAGAGGCGACAAAACACATCCACACTTGGGTTCATCACTGCATGGTTCCAAGTTGGGTGCACGCTGCCCACCGTTGGGGCCTCTTATGTTTTCACAGCAAAACTGAGGAGGCCTTCAGCTCCCGGTATAGTCTCTGTGTGGGCTGTCCTCAAAGCACTTCCCCATGCTTCTGGGAATAAACTAGACTTCTTAAAGACCATCACTGTGAGGGCAGGTCTCAGGACCTGCCATCATTTCTATGGGTGAAATGTAATAGCGTGAGGCCTTATTGTAGATGCATCAAAGCCCTGGGTAGAAGGGACCTGACAGTTTGTGCTTTCTTCTTTTGTACCAGGATTGAATAAATCTGCGTTAACACCATTCCTGGAATAGATTAAATCCCTCGGTTTGCTAACTCAGCCAGTTTCTGGCTTGCCATTGATGCCCCTGTCACTCAGGTCTCCCTGCAGAAGAGAGGCAACACTGGCCCAATGGAGCTGCTCCCTCCCTGCTCACTAACCAAGAGAGCAGCTGGGCCCGTAAAGGAATAAAAACAGTGGTTTTTATCCTCCTCTGTGATCTCCTTAGGCAGCTCATGACAGAGCCCTTAAGAGGATGAGTTAACATTATCATTATTGTAATTCTGTTGGGAAAAAAAGTTGGTGTCAGTGTGGAGATTTGTAAGGCTCCCTCCAATTAGGCCGCATGCCTGAAGGCAAAGGCTGCATCCATCACCTGTGGCACAGCATGGGCAGAGCAGATTGCACTGCTTCAGTGAGAAGGTCCTCGATGGCCCAGCAGATGGCTCGCCTTCCTGGCCATCCACCTCTCCTCCAGTGAGAGGTGCAGATGCTTTCCTCCACTGTCAGTGCTGGAGGTGGTAAAAAATGGACTATGGCTT